GCCGATTCTGGAATGGATGAAGGCCAGTGCTCCTAAGCCCAAGTGGAGCGACGTCTCAGCAATGAGTTCGACCACGAAAAGCTATTGGGCCCAATGGGACAGCTTGCTGATTCAGGATGGAGTCCTGTGCCGTAAATGGGAAAATGGTCGGGGAGACAGGTGTCATTTGCAAATGGTTGTCCCTAAGGCTAAAGTGCCGGATATTCTACAGCTGTACCATAGTGGTTGTTCAGGAGGCCACCTGGGAGTTAAACGAACTCTCCTGAAAATCCGAGAACGGTTTTACTGGGTCCACTGTCGTGACGATGTCGAGGACTGGTGCCGCAAATGTACAAGTTGTGCGGCTGTAAAGCGACCTCAAATTCGTAGTAGAGGCGTATTGAAATTGTACAATGTTGGTGCACCATGGGAGAGGATAGCCATTGACGTTGCGGGGCCGTTTCCAGAAACTGAAAGTGGTAACAAGTATTTCATGGTAGTGATGGATTACTTCACTAAGTGGCCAGAAGTCTTCGCCATTCCAAATCAAGAAGCTTCAACAGTTGCAGATAAACTAGTTCATGAAGTTTTCTGTCGTTTTGGAGTACCTTTAGAGATTCACAGCGATCAAGGAAGGAATTTTGAGTCTCAAATATTCCAGGAAACTTGCCGAGTTATGGGTACTCAGAAAACACGAACAACTTCTTACCACCCACAATCTGATGGAATGGTAGAAAGATTTAATCAGACATTGGAGAGGTACCTAGCAAAAGTTGTGGAAAAACGGCAACGAGACTGGGACAGGCACATACAACCGTTTTTGTTGTCATATCGAAGCGCTGTTCACGAAAGTACATCAGTGACACCAGCTTTCGCAAACTTTGGGAGAGAATTGCGGCTGCCTGCAGACCTGATCACCGGAATACCACCTGATGCCCCACGCAGTATAACCGATTATGCAAATGACTTGCGGAACAAAATGAATGACATTTATGAGCACGTCAGACAGACGGGCCAGCAAACGTCTGAGAAGATGAAAACACGGTATGACCGCAAAATGAACAACAAGGGCTTTGATGAAGGTTCACTAGTGTGGTTACACAATCCAGTTCGCAGCAAAGGGAAATCTCCTAAGCTTCAAGCTAAATGGGACGGACCGTACCGGATTGTGACAAGGATCAATGATGTAACCTACCGGATACAGAAAGGTGCCAGAGGTACTCCTAAGATTGTCCATGTGGATCGACTGGCGCGTTATTATGGGGCCAATAATGCTCGGGACGAGCATGTCTTAGGAGGGGGCAGTGTTACGCGCCACTATTAATGTCTTGTACATGGCAACACTAGTTACACTAGCGCCCCCTAGTGTCGAGTAAATGAAAGTATTGCGCGCCACTATTAATGTCTTGTACATGGCAACACTAGTCACACTAGCGCCCTCTAGTGTCGAGTAGCAGAACTAGGAGAGTCGAGATCCTTCCAGAAATTTCGGGACCGATATGTACTCGAACATTCTAGATGTCGCTACAGTAGAAGGTTCTGGAAACTATCTGAGGCCCTATATAAGACCGGTATAGACCACGACCGGGGCAGTATTGAATTGGCGATACAAGAGAATACTTCGAAGCGAAATAACGGCGAACTGTGTTTTATTATTAGTGTGATTTTTGATTGTAATTAGAGTTGTGTAATTAAAGTGTCAATTTTGGTAATTCAGTCGGCAGTTTTTAATTGTCTCGAACCCGAAGCTCGTAACAATATGTTTGATGGTGAAAACCCACATCTTGTTATTATTGATGATCTAATGAGAGAGTCCGATGGAAGAATTGTGGATATATTTACAAAAGGTAGTCATCACAGGAATCTTAGTGTATTTTATCTAACACAAAATTTATTTCATCAGGGTAAAGGACAAAGAGACATATCTTTAAACTCAAGTTATATAATATATTTTAAAAACCCTCGAGATAAAACTCAAATAAGATATTTAGCAAGACAAGTATCACCAGATAACCCAAAATTCATTGAAGATGCCTACAGGGATGCAACTCTAGAGGCGCATGGATATTTAATAATAATAATAATAATAATAATTCTTTATTTCAGATATCAAAGATCCATAAGTTGTTAGTATGACTTATATTAGGTTAGTAATTGAGAACATTAAATAAATTAAATTAAATTAAATTAAATTAAATTAACAAGACTATAATCAAATCTATACCAAAAATTAAATTACAATAAAATCAAAAATAAAATAAAATTTAATTCAATTTAAATCAATTCAATATAACTTAATTCGATTCTTTAATATATTAATTACTTGAATAAAATTAATCTATAGTTTAATTCATGTATCTGCCACCCTCTGGGGTACTGGGCACATGCATTTGTAACCAGTGCCACAGAAGGGGACTATCAGGCTTATCGCTGAGCACGTTCAGGATGGTGTTGGCGCTCCCCCGCGTACGGAGCATCAATGAGGCGATGCGGCGTCGCTGCACGGCGTGGAAGCCGTCCGTGTGCGCGTGCGCAAACATCGCAGACGCACTACAGCAGCGCGGGAGCGCCACCAGCACCCTGAATGCGTTATTATATTGTACTCGGAGAGCGTTGATGGCCCGCTGCGTGTAGTTGACCCACAGATTGCAAGTGTATAGAGTTTGGCAAAAGGCTTTAAAGAGAGTTATCTTTACTCCAAAGCTACACCGCGCGAATCTGCGTGCCAGCATATTACAGCGGACCGCCATCACCCTCCTTTCCCTTTCGATGTCAGCATCGTCTTTTATATCCTCGGTAACCACATGGCCAAGATATTTAAACGCATTTACCCTGCCTAGAGCGACGCCATTTAGCAGCACACGTGGCACATCTCCCAGCTTACGACGCCTAGCTTGAAAGATCAAGAGCTCGCTCTTTTTAACATTATACAGGAGTCCGTGTGACAAAGCGTACCTCTCACATACACCTATTAGTTTTCTGAGACCTGCGATTGATGGGCTTAGCAATACCATGTCATCTGCATAACTGATACTGTTGATGCAGTGACCATCAATCGAGCAGCCGACCCTTGTGTCGCTCAGCTCAACAATCAACCTATTCACATACAAGTTGAAGAGAGAAGGAGAAGTTAGCCCTCCCTGTCTCACTCCACACTCCAACCCGTACTCGTCAGAAAGCTCACCAAGCCATCTAACCCGGTTAGTTTGGTGTTCATACCAATATTTAAAAATATTGATCAACCCACCCGGCATACCTGTGTCTTTTAATTTACGCCAAAGAATATCGTATCTAACTAGGTCAAATGCCTTAGTGAGATCAAGAAAGGCTGCATACACAGGCGTGTTTCTATCCGTGTAGTACCTAACAGTCTGTTTGAGAGACATAATTGCGCATTCAGTCGAAAGTCCTGGTCTGAAGCCGAACTGAGCGTCATGTAGGTGGAGATGCTCTTTAAGTTGTCTCTCAAGCAGGCCATCAAGCACCTTAGATGTGGTTGTAGCTAATGATATCGGACGGTAGTTGCACTTGTCGGAAGTATCACTAGTTTTATTTTTAATAATAGGCACTATCACCGTCTTCATTAGCTCATTAATGGTAGATTTAAAACAGAATACCAATGATTTTTGTCGTATCAAGACAAATGTCTTTCCATTTAATGGTTTCTGTACAGTCTACGTCCCCACAAAAGAGTTTAAATACACCAAGAATCAAACAATTGAAATCTTTGCTAAATGATGCATCGTCGACTCACAACGTATAAACATTTGCTAACCGCTTTGCATACGCTTAAACCAAAATATCAAAGAGCATTACTTAAAACGTGTGATGAAGAAGAAATTAACTGTATTTGTGAGTGTATTCATAACGTTTTACAAGGAAAAGTACCTCTTAAAGATCAGGATAAACAAAAATTGAATAAACATAAAAACATACTCCGTAAACTAGTACGTAAGTGTAAACATAAACTAAGAAAAAATATAATTATACAAAAAGGAGGGGCTTTCTTACCAACAATATTAGGTGCAATATTGAGTGGATTAGTGAGTGGACTAGCCAGTTAACATGGAAAATGCAAAGAAAATGATACTTATCGAACCTGGATTGATTGAAAAATTAAAACAAGAAAATAAGGTTAATAGTAATTTATCTCGATTAGATATTGAAATGCAAAATATTATGAATAGTAAGACGGAAGACCGAAAGAAATGGATATTATATTTACAAACACTGCAAAGATACCTTCATTTTACCGAAGAGGATCGTCAACCACTCAAATTACCAATTTATTCTGATACATCTAATGAAGATTCAAATGAGTCAAAAATTGGTTTTAAAAATAAAGATAGAGATCTAAAAACTTCAGTTGATATTGAACCTTTGCTGGAGGAGAATCGATCCATTAAAAGTAAAGAAAATGATGAAAATCCACTTTACACACCAGCTCTAATACTCAGTTTAATACCAAAAACTTATCATAAAAAAGGGCAGTTATTATTAAACTTAGTTGAAACAAGTAAAAGTAAAATACATTGGGATAATGAAGGTAGGGGGAGGCGGGGCAGATTGATGCAAGGGGCAGATTGATTCACCTAACATATATCATAATCGGTTAGATGTAATCGAGTTGTGACAACACTATAACTTGTCTATGCCTGCCTTAGCGCAGCACTTGTGGCCGCGCCGCCATCCATTTAGCCGATGGCGTTAGACGAGATAGTTTGTGTTTTATGTTCGCCCGACTAAAAATCCACGTGGAATATAAAAGAGATTCAAGCACTTTCTACAATATCTTTGAAGTATTTATACACATTAAAGGTGAGTTATTCCATCCATTAATAGGAGTTTAAAACTTATAGCTCAATAAATCAACATAAATAAATATGATGATAACATTTTACAAAAACTTCTGTTGGGGCACAATGATACGGTAAACTGTGGGGCACTTTGATGCGTATCATTCTGCCCCAATTTAAAATTTTATTACTATTTGTTAATTTAGCGATTTTTTTTTTAAGAAAATGGTGCGAACCTATAAACCAAAGACTGAACGATGCAATATAAACGAAGAAAATATGAAGGCTGCCATATCCGACGTTATATCGAAGAAATTATCTATACGAGTAGCAGCTGGTAAGTATAACGTTAAAACTGCAACACTGCAACATCGTATCGAGAAATTTCGAAAATCTTTTGAAGATAGTCAAGCATCATCGTCTAAATCATACAGCTCTAAATACACTGTTGCTCAAGTATTCTCGAAGCAAGAAGAGAAGATGCTTACAGAATATTTGTTGAACTGTAGCAAAATGCACTACGGGTTGTCCTTACAGCAACTTTTGGTTTTGGCCTATGAATTTGCCGAATACTCAGGTTGCAAATATCCAGAATCATGGAAGAAAAATAAATGCGCTGGGAAAGACTGGTCAAGAGGATTCAGAATGAGGAACCAGGAGCTTAGCCTTAGAAAACCAGAAAATACAAGCGCAGCACGAAGTTTCGCATTTAATAGGACAGCAGTGAATGATTTCTTTGACAATTATGAGCTTGTAATGCTACGGTATAAATTTGCTCCTGATCGTATCATAAACCTTGACGAAACTGGAGTAACTACTGTTTTATCTACCCCTAAAGTTCTGGCTGAAAAGACACAGAGGCAAGTAGGACAAATGGTGTCTGCCGAAAGGGGAGAGCTAGTTACATTTTGCGGAATAGTAACTGCAACAGGTGTTGCCCTTCCTCCTGTCTATGTCTTTCCTCGTGTTCATTTCAAAGACCATTTTTTAAACGGCGCTCCGGTTGGAAGTCTTGGTTTATCAAACAGGAGTGGCTGGATGACGGCAGAATTGCACGTTGAAGTTCTTAAACATATTCAGCGGCACACATCATGCACCAAAGATAATCCAATTTTAATTATTTGTGACAACCACGAGTCACATGTTTCAATTCAAGCAGTAAATTTTTGTCGCGACCATGGAATCGTTTATCTATCCCTTCCGCCACACACATCCCACAAACTACAACCACTGGATGTTAGCGTTTTTGGCCCCTTTAAAAGCAAATTGAAAATAGCTTTCAACGATTGGCATATTCGAAATGTTGGTAAAACTTTATCCATCTATAATATAGCAGAACTTACCAAATCGGCCTTCCTAGAATCTTTTACGCCAAGAAACATCACAAGTGGCTTTTCAAAGCCAGGGATTTGGCCATTCAATAGATTAGCTTTTGGAGATGACGACTTTGCTCCAATAGAAGTTTTTGGTGCGAGATCTCAGAACGAAGGTGATGGGGGCGGGCTGGATTTGGAGAGACTAGAAGTTGATTTTGTGGGAATCGAGACAAGTCAAGAGAGAGTGAATGAAAACTGTGCAGGAGATGAGATTTTAGGTAGTGAAGCCGATCCTCTCAATCACCAGTCGGATATTGCTGCACCTCCAAACCTTGCTTCATCATCTTCCAGCGTTACTTCATCTCCAAATGTTTTTCCATCGACTTCTGAGACTGTTTTGTCCCCCGAAGCTGTAAGGCCATACCCAAAAATAGTAACGAATAAAAAAACCTCTATAAAAGGAAGAGAAAAGGGGAAATCTAGGATTTATACTGAAACACCGGAAAAAAACAGATTGGAGATATTACAAGATAAAAAAGAACGAATGCGACAACTGAAAATGATGAAGGAGAAAGCAAAAGCTTTGAAAACTGCAAAAAATTTATTGGGACTAACGGAAACTAAAAAATCTAGAAAGAAAAGAGTCTGTTTACAATCACAGTCTGATTCTGAATCCAGTCAGAATGAGTCGATTAAATTATGTGATGATTACGACAATGATCTGGATGAGCTACTTGACGAGGAAACTAAAGAACATAGTTATGCCCCTGATCCCGAAAATATAAACATTGGAGATTTCTTGCTTATTAAATTTGATAAGAAGAAATCTACAGTTTATTATGTGGCCAAAGTCTTGTCCAAATACAATTTGACCGAGTACCAAGTATCCTACCTCAGAAAGAAACCAGGATCATGCGTTTTTGTTTTTCCGAATGTAGAAGACCTAGCTAGCGTTGATTTCCGAGATGTAGTTTTACAACTGCCTGAACCAAATTTTACAAAAGGCACATGTCGAACATCATCTCACTATACTTTTTCAGTTAATTTAAGTGCCTATAAGGTGCAGTAGAGAAATTTAAAATGTGTCGTTGTTGTTACGTTTGGTGTTTTTTATTTAGATGGATGTACATCAAAAGAAGTTTTTTTGTCTTTAATTATAGAAAGTTTCTATGAAGAAGATATATGGTTAAAATGACATGATTGAATCAGAAATGTGCTTTATTCTTAAAACTATAAGACTGATTGTGATCTCTGAACAATAAAAGTATTATTAGCATACTAGACTTTCAAATTAATAATATTTCCATACAAATTTTAGTTTGTATCAAAGTACCCCACGTAGTGTATCTAAGTGCCCCGTGGGTGGGGCACAATGATACAAATCTCTTTTTTTACTAAAAGCTTTATATTTTTTTTATACATTAATTACACAGATTCTTTTAATTACTTTTGTTATATTTATAGATGTAGCAATGCAGAAAACATAAAAAATATAGACTTTACCGTGATTTAAGCACTTAAAAGTGACTTTAAATTTTTATGCATCAATCTGCCCCACTTCCCCCTACAGTCATAATTGATAGTGAAAAAATTCCTGGAAGTAATATTGTTGATTTAATAAATGATTCACTAAGACCCCTAAAAAGAAGTGATCCGGTAGGGTGGGTTAGATTTGCTGAAGCATTAAAAGATATTAAAGTACCACTTACTTATATTGGAAATCCAAGGAGATGTGAGTTTATTAACCAACTTCAAGCAAAAGATCTGAACAAACCCTCTGAGATTGAAGTTCAAGAGTTTTCTACACCGGGCAGTAGAGATAAAAAGTCTACAACTAAAATACGTAAAGGACTTGAGTGGGAAAAATGGACCCCGTACTAGAAGAAATTAACAGGATTTATTATGATCCATCTAATCCCGCTGGTTTTGGTAGTATTGATAAATTATCAAAAGCCATGAAGGGTAAAATGAATAAAAAGCAAGTAAAGGAATGGTTAAAATCACAAGAAACATACACATTACATAAACCCATTCGAAAAAAATTCCCGCGTAATAGGTACATTCTATCAAATATTAATGAACTGTGGCAAGCTGATTTAAGTGATATGCGAACTTATTCTCAGTATAATGATGGTTGTATATACTTTGTATTATTGATGTATTTAGTAAATATGCTTTTGCAAGACCAATGAAAAAGAAAAACTCAGAAACAACTAAAGAATGTTTTGAAAGTATATTTACTGAAAGTAATTTAACACCTACTCACATACAATCCGATAAAGGTACAGAATTTGTTTCAAAAGATGTACAAAAATACTTTAAATCCAAAAAGATTAATTACTATACCACTAACAATCCTGACATTAAGGCTAGTATTGTTGAACGATTTCAAAGAACACTAAAAATGAAAATGTGGCGTTATTTCACTCATAATAATACTTATAGATATATAGATGTTTTACAAGATTTAATATACTCTTATAATCACAGCTTTCACTCTAGTATTAAGATGTGCCCATGTGATGTAAATTCCAACAATATTATGACAGTTTGGACTAATCTTTATGATAGACGGTCAAAAAAACTTTCTTTAGAAAATCCTAAACCAAATTTCAATGTGGGTGATTATGTTCGAATAACTAAATATAAACATGTATTCCAAAAAGGATATGAATCAAATTGGAGTGATGAAATATTTATTATATCTTCAATAATTGATAGATCTCCATGGGTTGTTTATACAATAACAGATTTACAAAATGAACCAATAATTGGTACTTTTTATGTAAGAGAATTACAGAAAATCACTTACAACCCCACCTCACAACATAAAATAGATAAAATAATTGACACTCGTTATTCAGGTAACAGAAAAGAAGTATTAGTGAAGTGGAAAGGTTATCCAGATAAATTTAACAGTTGGATTTTAGCTTCTAGTTTAAAAGAAATATGAATAAAGAAAGTTTCTATTTAACTTTGCTCAGCAATAGTTCAATGGAATACTTTCCTGATAACAAGACCACAAATTTTTCAACGAAATTACCAAAAGCTATAAAATTAGAAGGTGAATGGTCGGTTGGAGTTGTCGAGTTTCAATATCCATGTACCATGTTTACTGTTCAAGACCATGAAAATGTAATATACATTACAAAATCTATGTTAATGCCTAATGAAGATAAACCATCCACAGTGTACTACAAAAAACATATTCCAGCTACCAACTATGATAACGTTGAGCATATTTTAAGAGTGTTAAATGGTATCGGAGAGAACTTGAAATTTCGCTATGATGAAATAACAAAATTTGTGTCTATTTCGGTATTGGATAAAAATATAACATCCGTAACATTATCACCCAAATTAAGTTTACAGCTAGGTTATGAACCAAATAAAAATCTCCTAGAGAGAAATTTTGGAAAGTGTCCTGCTAATTTACACTTAGGGTTACCATCTCAACTATTTCTATATTGCGACATTATCGATCCTCAGATTGTGGGTGATGTTATGACTCCTTTATTAAGAGTCATTTCATTAGATCCTACAAAATACATTTATGGTGCAAATAAAATGCACGTTTTCTCTCAACCTCACTACTTACCTGTTATGCGAAGAGAGTTCGATACGTTGGAAATAGTTATAAGATCGAGTACAGGACAAAAAATACCATTCCAGTTTGGAACCGTGTGTATTAAACTACATTTCCGAAAATTATAATAATGAATTCTCTTCGTGATCATCATAAATGTCCATATGAAAATTATTATACACATCAAGCTGGATCAGGAGTTGGAGTAATTTATAAGGGTTCACCATATCAACGCGGTCATGGTATTGGGAGCTTCTTAGGGGGGTTATTCAGATCAGTTTTACCTTTACTTTCAAGTGGTGCTCGAGTGATTGGTAAGGAGGCATTAAGCGCTGGAGTAGGACTTTTATCGGATATGGTTCAAGCCCGTCCTATGGAAGCCTCAATAAAACATCGTCTAAAGCAAGTTAGTACGAATTTAAAACGAAAGGCTGATGAGAAAATTGATCAATTTAACATGACTGGATCTGGGTATAAAACTAAAAGAAAACGATTGACATCGTTCATTCCACCATTAACTGCTAAAGTGAAAGCTGCGAAAAAACTTTGTCTAAAACCAAAAAATATCAAAAATATATTTTCAAACTAAATATGTCTTTCCTTCATAATCATTCTTGTGAGTGCGTTAAGTCAGAATTGGATTTGTTTGCACTACCGTCTACACAAACTAGCATTGAAAATGGATTGTGGATTCATTATAAACCAATTTCATCTCTTGGTGATGATGGACCTATCGAGTTTCAAGTTCCTGGGACCGGCGATGACTACATAGATTTGTCTCATACATTACTCCACATAAAGGCAAAAGTATTAAATCAAGATTCAACTAACTTGGTATCTACTACAATAGTAGCACCTGTAAATAATTGGCTGCATTCACTTTTTAGTCAACTTGATGTTTATTTAAACCAAAAACTTGTATCACCACCTAATAATACCTATGCATATCGAGCATACATGGAAACCCTTTTAAACTATGCCCCTGCTGCTAAACAATCTCATCTTACTTGTAGTCTTTGGTATGAGGATACAGCAGGAAACATGGATTCTACAGATGGTAAAAACATAGGATTTGTTAAAAGACAGGAATTGATTAGTGAAAGTAAGGAAATAGAAATGATTGGTCATCTTCACGGTGACATTTTTAACCAAGATAAATTTTTAATTAATGGTGTTGAAATGAGTGTTAAATTGGTTCGATCAAGAGAGAGTTTTAATTTAATTGTTGGGTCAAACGATGTAAAGTTTAAAGTTTGCATTACGGACGCAACTCTTATTGTTCGACGAGCACGAATTAATCCAAGTGTATTACTCGCACATCAAAAAGTTTTAGCTTCTACCACTGCTAAATATCCTATTACTCGAGCTGAAGTAAAAGTTTTAACAATTCCTTCGGGTGTTCAAGGAAAAACTCTTGATAATATATTTTTAGGACAGGTACCGAAAAGATGTATAATTGGATTTGTGAACAATTCTGCATTTAATGGTTCCCTTACTAAAAATCCATTTAACTTTGAAAACTACGGTATTAATTCTTTCAGCTTATATATTGATGGTCAACAAATACCTTCAAAAGCTTTGCAACCATCTTTTAATAATAGCATATTTACATCAGCATATCATACTCTATTCTCGGGAACTGGTATTCACTTTCTTAATGAAGGAAATGGAATCTCTTGTGAACAGTATGGCAAAGGTTACTGTCTATTAGCATTTGACTTAACTCCTGATTTATCAGCTAACTCATCAACTCATTGGAATCTCATAAAGCATGGTAGTGTAAGAATAGAAGTACGATTTGAATCCTCATTAATACAAACAATTAACTGTATAGTTTATGCTGAGTTTGATAATATTATTGAGATAGATAAAAACAGAAATGTTACTGTAGACTATAGTAGTTAAGGTTATAATATGTGTTGTGTGTTAGATTTTATGTGTTATGTGTAATGCATTTTGTGTGTATGTAACTATGTGAAACGTTATAAAATTAAATAAAACAAATTGTATGCAATATATATTTTTTTTATTTCTTTATATATCTTCTATTTAATCTAATACAAAACACTGTTCGAGTTGAAATTTTACATAAGCACACTGACTAAACCACTGAACATGCTGCTGCCAAGGATCATCATCATCTTCCCAATCTTTTAAACCACCACCACAATGGAAACACTTGGTCCCGTCTGCATGGCCAGTATAAAAGAAACCAGCTTCTGCAAGATCTTCAGGTTTCTGTCGCATAACGAGAGGCCAGTTTTCGAAACTAAGCAAACGGCTAGATTTTGAACTGAAGAATGGATATTCAGCTCTTGAGTACTGCATACTCTTCTCGTTTTCTTCTCCACTCAGTGTTGTAGTTTTGTTATTCAATGATGTGTTTTGTACACGTATGCCACACTCATCTTTTCCTTCCGCTCTTGTCTTCCTGTAATTGAAGTAAACAGAATCACATTCACTAATGATCAGCTAATGACTGT